TTCTTTCCATCTTTCTCAATTTTTGTTGGGTAATTTATCTTAACAGTCTAACCTATTAATCAACTCAGCAAGTCCTTTCCATCTTTCACTATATTCTGTCATTCAATTTACCTTGATTTATTTTAACCTTATCTTACCATAAAATACCTTAAAGCTTAAAACTTAATACTTATTTATACATAACTCCTTATATCATTTCTACTAAAGCCAAATAGTTTCATTCCAACATTTTCCCTAATATTTGTTAATTTTACACTAATTGCCAAAATAATTTTTTTAAAAAACTTTCTTCCAATCTTCATCCAACATCTCTTCTTCCTGGTCTCGGGTTATGTCAGTCCTTACTGTCCATTCCATCTAGTCCATCAACCTGGTAGTCTTATGTCCGAGGCTCTTAAGTCTTTTCCATGTCCCTTCTGCAGATCTTCTTCTTGTTTATACCTGCACTTTTCCTTGTCTTTTGTTGATCTCTTTCTTAATTTCTTTCCTTTCTCACTGAGGAGTAGGTCTCGGGGAGACTCCAGCCCAAAATTATCTCCATCTCCCCTCAGCAGATCAGCCCATTCCCCACAGTCCCACTCCCCACAGTCAGCAGTGTAGTCCAGAAAATATTTAAAAGCATGTTTCAAAGTCCCTCCGAAATTGAGAGCCCCCACAACTCCAGACCCCCCCTGGCCCACTCCAGATTCAATCTTCAAAAACAGTGGCTTATGCTCCTGCAGGGCCTCGGGTCTCTCCATTTGTGTTACTTGAGGTTCAACAGTAACCTCCTCCATTATCTTCTACACTTGCACTTGCCCTGTCAAAACAGGTTCCTGAGTTGGTTCCTGAATGGTTTCTATATGGGTATTCACCGTTTGTCCAAAGTTTTTAACTGCAACAGTCATCAAATCCATCTTCTCATGCATCTGCTCCAACAAAGTGCTTGTCTTGCAAAAAGCAAGCACCAAAACTTCTTCTAAACACATTTTTTATTCAAGGTCAGAGTCTGGTCCCACGATCCTAATCTCCCAGCTGTGAAACCAGATCGACTCCAGTAACAATTTAACAAGCTCCCTCTAGAGGAGACAATTTCTATTTGTATCCATCTTTTAAAAGCAGGTCCAACAAAAGAAAATTACTTTCATTTTTCAAATATTTTGTTTCTTTTGAATGCAAAAGGCAACATAGAATCAATTTGTTTCTCTTTTTTAGCTATCTGTCAAAGACGTTCCATTCACAGTCAATGAACTTCCCCAAAAATTTCTGACTCTGGCACCCCGTTCCCAGGTTTGAGACGGTGGAAATTTATCTTTCTTTACTCTCTCTCCTGCAGGCTTGAACAGTCAAAGTTCCCCCCCTTTTCTCCTGCTCCCAAGGGGGGTTTTGTTGGTTATAAATGAAGGAAATTTAGACCTTTATATACGACTTTCCAGACTTTAGCTTGCAAGGTTTTTGCTTCAGTCTATTTACAAAAGCAGAAGGCGGACTTCCTGTTTTGAGCCTTCCCGCTTCGGTGCCAAATTAAAATATTTCTTTAATCCAATTTTCCGTTTCTACTCACGGGTACTTGTTTAGAGTCCAATTGTCCACAGGAAAAAGTCAGCGCTCTCCGGCAACGGCTGTGCGGCTTCACTCCGTAAAAGTAGCGGTCGATTCAAAACACCACGCTGCTCACCCCACATCACTTCGGATCCCCGAAAAAGGGTTTCCCTGCAAGTAGGGGAGGCGCTCCTGGTGTCAGCCGAATCCCACGTTCCCAGGCTTCCTCCGCCTGGGATTTTTAAAGGGTCTCCGTCTTCGCCGCGGCGGCAAGACCCGATTTTCATGGAGCGGGTTCCTCCCGGTCAGAGGAACTCCGCCATTGCCGATGGCGCTAACCCGGAAGTCCTTGCCGTGGGCAGTCTTATGACAATACTGCCAACATGGCTGGCAAATACAATGGTATACAGCCAAAAATCATCAAAAAAACCAATTTGCAAAATTTATTCCATGCGCAGGTCACTCTTTAAATCTGGTGGGCCGTTCAGCTGTGGATTGCTGCCTTGATGCAGTGAACTGTTTTGGCATGATCAATGAAATTTATACCTTCTTTTCAGACACTAGGTGGGACACACAGGCAAAAGCCACAGAAGCTGCTTTGGAAAGTTACAGTGCTATCACCGATGCCCTCAGTCATTTGTACACTGATGTTAAGGGGAAGGGGGAGACCAGGCTGCAAGCTAACAATCTTTTGCAGAAAATGGAAGAACTGGAATTTGTGTTTATGCTGCATTTTTGGACCTGTGTGCTAGGTCATTTTCACAAGGTCAGCAAAGCCCTCCAGAAATCAGACCTGTTACTGAGTTCTTGTGCAAGTTTGTACAGTTCACTCCTGGATTTTTAAAGGAAAATTAGAGATGATTTTGATGAGCTTGAGAAACAAGCAAAAGCCACCTTGCCAAATGTCAACTACAAAATAAGAAGACAAAGAGTGAGGGAAAGGCAAAGAAATGACAGAAGTGCACCTGATGCCTTAGATGCACTATCTCCAAGAGATACGGTAGGTTTAGAATAAAATCCTTTATTCCTATATTAGATGCACTTGAAGCCAATTTAAAAAGAAGTACTGTGTACAGTGGTGTTGCACAATTGTTTGCCATTCTTGCTAATTTGAAGCAAGAAATTAAGCAAGGTGTTGAACTATTGATGGAAGCATACCCAGAAGATATTGACCTTAAATTCATTGATGAACTTTTGCACTTTCACTTGTACGTGACACAAAGCCATAGGCTTACAGCAGAGCACTCTCTCTCTCATACAGACCTTTATCAAATTATATACAAGGAAAAAATTCAGATGGCCTTTCCTAATGTGGAAGCAATCTTGTGGCTATTTCTTAGCCTTATGGTCACTAACTGCTCAGGAGAGAGGAGTTTTTCAAGACTCAAAAGAATTAAAAATGAAAATAAGGGCCACAATGTCTCAAGAGAGGTTGTCCGCAGTGAGCATTCTGTGCATTGAAAGTGACAAACTTAGACAGACAAATTTTGATGAAGTTTTGGGTGATTTTGCTATGTGAGGAAGGCTAGGGAAAAAACATTTTAGCCTTACTGTATTGACTTTTTAATGACAGCATAAAGTACCGTATTTTTCGCACCATAGGACGCACTTTTTCCCTCCTAAAAAGCAAGGGAAAATGTGTGTGCGTCCTATGGAGCGAATGCAGGCTTTCGCTGAAGCCTGGAGAGTGAGAGGGGTCGGTGCGCACCGACCCCTCTCGCTCTCCAGGCTTCAGGAAGCTATCCGCTAGCCGTGGGAGACCCAGCTCTCCCACGGCTAGCGGAGCGCTGCATTAATCCTGAAGCTTGGGGCGTGCGGAGCTCAGCGCGCCCCAAGCTTCTGGGTGCCGGCAAGGTCTCCGCTAGCCGTCTAGCGGAGACCTTGCCGGCACCCAGAAGCTTGTGGCGCGCTGAGCTCCGCATGCCCCAAGCTTCGGGATTAGCGCTCCGCTAGCCGTGTCTAGGCTGCGAATAGCAGCCTGCTTCCCGGAGCGTCGGGCGCCCTGAAAGCAGAGCGCCCAGTGCTTCGGGAACACATCCGCAGCGTGGGGAGCCTTGCAGGAGTTCCCCGCAGGGCTCCCCACGCTGCGGATAGCAGCCTGCCGCCCGGCGGGTGGGGCGCCCTGAAGCAGAGCGCCCCTCGCGCCGGGCAGACATCCGCAGCGTGTGGAGCCCTGCAGGAAATCCCCACAGAGCTCCCCACGCTGCGGATAGCAGCCTGCTTCCCAGAGCGTCGGGCGCCCTGAAAGCAGAGCGCCCCTCGCGCCGGGCAGACATCCGCAGCGTGCGGAGCCCTGCAGGAAATCCCCACAGAGCTCCCCACGCTGCGGATAGCAGCCTGCTTCCCAGAGCGTCGGGCGCCCTGAAAGCAGAGCGCCCGGTGCTTCGGGAACACATCCGCAGCGTGGGGAGCCTTGCAGGAGTTCCCCGCAGGGCTCCCCACGCTGCGGATAGCAGCCTTCTGCCTGGCGGGTGGGGCCCGCTGAAGCAGAGCGCCCCGCGCGCCAGGCAGACATCAGCCAGCCCCACAAGCTCGGGGGACAGCAGGGAGGCGCAGCGCCACTATCCCGCTGTTCCTCGACCTGGTTTGGTTTCCCTGACCTGCTTTTGGGGGGGAAATAAAGGGGAAATTTTTTCCCCTTTATTTCCCCCCCAAAAAACTAGGTGCGTCCTATGGTCCGGTGCGTCCAATCGTGCGAAAAATACGGTAGATTCTAAAAGTGCCACACTGTCAGGTAATCATGATCATATTATTTACACTTCCCAGGCAATATAATTTGTAAACTCAAGGTGTTTTTTTAAGGATAACATTACAACTTCGTTTTCCTAAAAATGTATGCTTATTCCACACCAGGTTTACAAAGTTCAGTAACTGCAAAAGTTTTTCTGTGTTAATTCTATGCATTCTTGAAAATCACCATGGTATTTAAGTTAAGAATAACATCTTATGTTCTTTAGAGGAGAAATTGAGAATTTCAGAATTTTAAATACCCACCATCATCCTTCTCTTCACCCAATTTTGTTTATAACACTTCCACGTTCCTCTAGTCGTAAGGGTGGGGGATGGGGGGCTTCACAAGAGGAGTAGCCGAGGGCCGCTCTCCATCTAAATCCGGCCCTTCACAGACCCCCCCCCGCCCAGGGCTGCCCTCAGGCGATGGTGGGATCCGCACAAGCAGCAGATCCCGAGGGAGATTTGTTTCCCCCCCCCCCGCTGGGCGCTTCCCTCAGGCGCCGACTGCGCTCTGCCTATGGGACCCCCCCCTTCTCGCCCCCTCAGAGCATCCACGCCTTGGATGTCCCTCCAGCGAGTTAGGCAAGGAAGACCCCCCACGAGGGAGCGGCACTTTGATGGGCCACGCTTCTCACCTAACATCCCTTCTGGGCATCCTGCTCAGAGGCTCCCTTGACCGCAGGGGCTGCGCGCGAGCCGGGGGGGGGCGGAGCTCAACTGGCGCCGCGAGCCGCGCGTTCGAAAGCAGCGGCAGAAGGCAGAGACGCGAGTGCGCACGCGCGGCGGGGGCGGGAGAGGAGCGGGAGAGGAGGCGCGCGCCTTGGGCGGAGAGCGCCATTTCCCTGGCGAGGCCGGCGGGTAAGGCGCCTCTTCCAAGGCTTGCGGGCTGGGGGGGGGGCGCGCGTCTTTCTCAGCCCCCTTGGGAGGGAGACCCTGTAAAGAGGTGCAAGGGCGCTAAAAGGGCCGGGTAGAATTTCTGTGCAGTGGTACCTCAGGTTACAGACGCTTCGGGTTACAGACTCAGAAATATTACCTCAGGTTAAGAACTCTACCTCATGATGAGAACAGAAATCGTGCTCCGGCGGCGCAGCGGCAGCGGGAGGCCCCATTAGCTGAAGTGGTACTTCAGGTTAAGAACAGTTTCAGGTTAAGAACGGGCCTCCGGAACGAATGAAGTACTTAACCTGAGGTACCACTGTAGTTGCTAACTCTAGAATAAGCTATGGTGATACCTCAAACGTTTCAAAAGAAATAGAAGTGAACTGCTGTCCTGTAATGCGCAAGACTTTTCCGGGCGGGGCGAATCCAGCAAGTATCTTATGTTTTAAGTTGCTGCCCCCATGCTATATAGATCACATAGGATTCTTGTCAGGACATGATAAAGTAAAAAAAAAAAAGACTGCGTAACATTGGGTCCTCCAGACTGGGATGCCTACTTGAATAAAATATTGGGACTCGTCATAAACAATCACATGACATGGCACGCGCGCACCCCATATGAATAGGAATTTTCTTCAACTTAGTGGGTCCCAGCCCCCTCAAATATTTTATTGGTACAAAGGGATCTCAGCCCCTACCCTAGGAATGGGCTCTCAGGCCTTCCTATTACCCTGGCCATTGCCCATACTTGATCAGAAAAACACCTGCTGTAATAATTAGTCTTGAATAGAAAAAGAAATTGTGTGCCTCAAACTGGGTTCTCCCTCTGTTCATTGTCAGTTTTTAAAAAGTTAATAGATGAACATACATGTTTGGTTTTTTTGTCTGTTCTTTTCTTGCTGTTCCTGATCGTCCCAGCTGTGCTAGGAATAGAATAATACTCCGAATTCAGACTGAGAAGAAAACAGAGACCAACAATGAGTCACAAGGTATATTTTAAACAGTTTTAAAGAATATTGGTGATTATTCTGCCAGTGCAGAGCAGGACTTTGGCAGCTTAGTGCCGCTTTGATCAAATTTTCCAGCTTTCTCTAAGGTGTATGTTGAGTTTACATAACTGAGGTAACTTAAAAATCTTTGGTACTAGCATCTTGGTTTTGATTATCATTAAAAATGTGCACATTCCAATGCCACTTATATTTAGATGTCCAGACTTTCCACAGTGCTAGTGGTATTGGGCTTAATGAGTTGAGGAACTTGAGCACAATGTGTGACGACTCACACATTCTCCAGTAGGATGTCACCGTAGATTCCCGCATATTAGACGACTTTTGAACCCCGGAAAATCTCCAAAGTCGGGGGTCGTCTTATATGCTGGGTATGGTTGTGGCAGGTGGCGGCGGCGGCTGGCTTGGAACAGCGACGGGCAGAAGGATGGTAAGAGCCGCCTCCCAAAGCAGCAGCAACTGCGGCAGCCTCCCCTTCGCGCGGTGAGGTGGTGCGCGGCTTCAGGCAGGGCTCGCCCGCCCTGCCACCATGGGGACCACCAGATTCCCGGGGGGAGGGAGGGACTTCCACGCACCAAACACCTCGCCTCGGCTGCTGCTGCAGCAGAGGCAGCGGAGGGGTGCACGCTCTCCCCCTGGCAGCGCTTGGCACCCTTGCACACTGGGGACAGGAAACAGCTGTGCAAGGAGGCCATCTCAATATGGGATAGATCCTGGAGGTTGGAATAGGTCTGCCTGCCTTTCTTTCCACACCTATTTATGGAATCCTGATTTTGTGTATGTGTCCATCTGCCTGCGGAAACAAAATGCAACGGTGCTGAACCCCCGCAGCCTAAAGGCAGGAATTCCTGGGCATTCCCTAACTTTGTGCCTTCTCTCTCTCCCCCATGCCGGCATGATCATGGCTGCCAGCTCCTGGCTCCTGCGCTGTGCTCACAGTCTTCCTCTTCCATCTCTGCCCGCCTCCCGCTCGTCCTTACCCTTCACTCGCCTCCAGGGTGGCGGGGGACGCAGAGAGCTCTGCCGCCCCCTCCTCCCTGCCCTGGGCAGCACCAGCCCAGCCCTGTTGTTCTGTCACTGAGCGCTTGGCGGGCGGCCAAACTCTATAATTTAACAGCAAAAGTTGGGGGGTCGTCTTATACGCCCAGTCACCTAATACGCCAGCATCTACAGTACCTTCTTTGCTGAGGCCTAAGGTTTACCTTTAAGGTTGCTAGAAAATCTATACATAAGCATCCCACTTGCTGTCCCCACCCCGAAAAATTGCAGAACACAGAAGAGTTGCACTTTTCTGTACTCCTTGTTCACATGGCTTAATTGTTAAACCATGTGGGTGAGAAGTGTCTGTTCATGAAAGTGGTATGAAAGTGAGGTTTTCCGCACTAACTGAATTTGCAACCCAATCTTGGTAAGTGTACTGCAGACATTGGCTGTGCATTCAGTGTAAACACCCATATTATTGCATGACAAGTAAGACTTTCTACCAGGCAGGGAAGCTTTACAAAAGCTGCAGTTTTGGGGTTTTTTGTTTTTGTTTCAAACACGTTTAGTTCCTAGGAAGTGGGTCTTCTGTGTCTTCCATTGCTACAGCCCTACACTGTCATGTCCCCATTGCAAACCCCACTGAATTGAAAAACAGATGGTGGTGTGATGGGGAGAAGGTGAAATCTGGTGTGTACACAAGCCCTCATATACACAAATAAACACAGCCTTCCCAGTAGTTGCACCTGCCCTGTGCAATGCCCTCCCATCAGATGTTAAGGAAATAAACCACTATCTGACTTTTAGAAGACATCTGAAGGCAGCCCTGAATAGGGAAATTTTTAAACGTTTTAATTAATTTTTAATATCTTACTGTGTTGTAATTCTTTGGAAGCTGCTCAGAGTGCCTGGAGTAGCCCAGCCAGGTGGGCAGCATTTAAATTATTATTATTATTAGACAGGAAATTGAAAAAAGTCTTCCCGTTATTTCAGGGAAGACTGGTGGCCTGTAATGCCAGCTTTGGCAAAAGTATAAAACTGTTTAAAATAATTGCCTCAAAAATAGCGGCTTTTGTGCAAAGTGAAGAAAAACAAGTAAGCCTATTAGGAAGGAAATACTAATTATTTTTGTTATTTGTAGGGAAGACGGGTTCATTATTGGGTTTCTGTATTACCCATTAAGAGGGGAAATTGAGGGGGAATAACTGCTCCATATATATGAGACTAGTTTATGTACATCTAATCTTTGTATGACTGAGTTCGCTTTTAACCGAATTGGTTTTTGTTACCTTCTGGTTTCTGGTCTTTAGGGCAGATATTATATCTCAGAGACTCAGCAGCATAGTTACCATAGCTTCTCTAATCTGGAGATGGAAGACAACTATGGCAAGTACCAATCATTTTCTTTCTTATTTTTGTGCTGATAATCATTCCACAGTTTTGACTCTGTGGGGAGACTGTTTCAAATATTCAGCTGTGAAGCTCACTAGAGGAGAAAATGAGGCAATAAAACATTGTGATCCATACAAAACTCTGTCGTTGGATAAATGATTTATACTTAAGCACAGCATACATTTACTTAGCAATATACAATATGTTATGAGCGTGTTTTATTACTAGATTTGGTAGTTAGTTATTTCTCAGTGCAGCTGGGGAGATTCAGCACTGGGTGCCACGGGGGCTGGAGGGGGGCACTTCGGCCACCGGTGAGATTTAGTTCATAGAGCATATTGCTGGTAATAATGATATAGAAGGAAAGGAAAGCAGTTTACACCTGATGACTAACAGACCAACTCCATACCTACTAAGAGGCTTCTCCACCCCTTCTGGTTTTGACAAATGTAAGACTATTGCCAAACTCCATGTGGGTTTCTTTCATAACTGTGAAGACCTGAAATAGGATTTTCATGTTTTCTGAAGTAAAAGCACAGAGGAACCTGCAAAATCTGTAATATGATGCTCTGTAGCAAAGTCTTAATACAAAGGCACTCAAACCAAGACCCACTTGTCTTATGAGACCATTGGGGAAAATGTAGCCATACCTCTTCAATTTCCTTGAAGAACTCTTTTAATTGGACTGCCTAATTGAGTAGCTTCAGGGATTCAGTTCCTTGGAACTTGCGCTTTATTTCATAAATGTGCTCATTAACGTCTGCAGCAGTCTTGCACCACTGACTACATTTTCTTTGTTTAGTACCCTAATCACCTAAATCTTACAAGTGGGTGTATTTAGCCACTAAACCTGAAGTAATTCTGCGGTTATGGAATACTGAGAACCAATAGCTTTCTCAGTTATCTGATTAATTTCAATATATTAGTGTGTTCCCACTTTTTAACTGTGATACATCTTTTCGACCACAAAGCATGCTTCCATCTTTGTTTTTTTCCTAGTTGATCCTTCAGATCCTGATAAACTAATGCAGTGTCCATATGACAAGAATCATAAAATCAGGGCATGTAGGTTCCCCTACCACCTTGTCAAGTGTCGTAAGGTAGGAAATGTAGATTCTATTATTGACTGTGTGGAGCCTGTATCTTGTGGCTTTATAGTTGACTTAAGAACATAAGAGCTTGCTGAATCAGGCCAATAGCCAATCTAGCTGGAAGGTGTCCGGGAGGGACACAGCTGCTCCGGCAGCAAACCCCACACTGCTTTTTCAGGCAGTACTGAGCCTGCGAATGCCAGCCGCATTCCTCTCAGACGCCCTCAGGACACAGTTGCTCTGGCGTGCACCCCGCACCCTAGCGTGCACATGCATGCACACCCCAGGTGCCAGCAGGGCTTGCTACACCCCTGGAAGGAGGCAGCCCACCCCACTTGCTCAGATGAAGGCAGACGAGCAGGCAAGCAGAAGAAAGAGCACTTTCTCAGGCTCCCTCTGCCAGGGCCAGGGCTGGGCTGTGGAGGGAGTGGGCAGGAGCTCCTTCGCCCGAGCAAGTGGGTAGCCACCTTCCCTTCTTCCTGGTCCCTCCCTCCCTCCACAGCTCAGCCACTTTTCCAACCTTTTTCAGGGTTATTTCAGACATCATGATGCATCACTGTAGAGTGGTACGTCAGGTTAAGTACTTAATTCGTTCCGGAGGTCCGTACTTAACCTGAAACTGTTCTTAACCTGAAGCACCACTTTAGCTAATGGGGCCTCCCGCTGCTGCCGTGCTGCCGGAGCACGATTTCTGTTCTCATCCTGAAGCATAGTTCTTAACCTGAATCACTATTTCTGCGTTAGCGGAGTCTGTAACCTGAAGTGTATGTAACCTGAAGCGTATGTAACCTGAGGTACCACTGTATTTCAATGGTTAGCTGGTGATACGCCATATTTACTCAAATCTACTTCTCACCTTTTTTGGCCAAATTACATTGCAAAAATTAAGGTGTGCATTAGATTCAATGGCACATTAGACTCGAGTAAATACGGTTTTACAACATTGGAAAACCAGATATCATCCAGCCCTACTTGGGGCACTTCTACTTTCCACATTCCTCTTTTGGAAGAAATGTCCATTTATTCCTCCTCTCTGCTTCCTGTTATCTATTAGTTTCTGATTGAGCTAAGCGGACTCAAGAGTCTTTGAAAGCTTTGTTGAAAAGCTTTTTGGAAGTCCAAGTATACTGTGTCAGCTGGATCACCTCTGTCTATACGCTTGTTGATGCTTGGGATGTCTCAGTGCTGTTACTCTTTGCAGTTTGTGTGAGATGAATTTTATCAACTAAAGGACATTTTAAAAGAAGACAGTGTGGAGATAAACTGAAACCGCCCTCCAATTAAGTGCACACCAGCCATCTGACCTGATGCTCATTTTTTCAATTTATCTCCAGAACTACATAATGGGTAGAGAAATGTTAGCCCTACAATACTTGGTACTAGGATATATAAACCTTCCAATTGCAAGGTGGACTCTCCATCCTTGGAGGATTTTAAGCAGAGATTGTATGGCCAACTGTCATAAATGCTTTAATCAAGATTCCTGCATTGCAGGGGTTTTGGACTAGATGACCTTCAGGGTCTGTTCCAACTATACAGTTCTGTGATTCTGTGAAGGACGTTTTGGTCAGGCCCAGTGGAAAGGTAGATATTTCTTAGGCATAAAGGCCTGGTTTGTGCGTAATACAAAGCAGTGTTTTCTTAGAATGTCCAAACCCAGCCCAGCAGACTAACCATGAGAGTGCTTGCATGTCTAAGCAACTCTTCCTGACTCTTTTTCTGAAAAAGCCCTTGTTTCTAACTTTGCCTGAAAGCAGGCTCTTCTCCCACCCCATTCCTCCAGGGGAAGCCCTTGCTCACAAGCTAGACAAAGCCACCTGCTTTGTGAAGAGAAAAACTGCAATGGACCATGCTGCTGTCTTTAAGTAACATATACAGTGGTACCTCGGATTACATACGCTTCGGGTTACATACACTTCGGGTTACAGACTCCACTAACCCAGAAATAGTGCTTCAGGTTAAGAACTTCGCTTCAGGGTAAGAACAGAAATCGGGCTCCGGCGGCAGCAGGAGGCCCCATTAGCTAAAGTGGTGCTTCAGGTTAAGAACAGTTTCAGGTTAAGTACAGACCTCCGGAATGAATTAAGTACTTAACCTGAGGTACCACTGTATGCTGTTAGTTAAGGCATTGGTGAACTGATACCCAGCTAGCCTGATTGTTTAATCTCTTTACAATAAAATAATTAACACTTCATGGAAAGAAAAACACCACTGACCTTTCACAGCATGCATACACAAATCAAGACTTTAAGGTGCTAGGACAGAACTCCTGATTTCCTAGTTGATTTGCATGTTTGTGAGCCTTTTGGTGTGTTGTGTGCCATGCACATAATCAGGGTTGTCTGAAATATACGTACTGTATATAGTTTGATAGTTCTGTATTGCATAGCTTTAAAATAAGATAGCCATGTCTTTGTTTTCTAGAACCATCCTGATAAAGTGCAGCAGCTGGTCACATGCCCATTTAATGCCCGTCATCAGGTGCCCAGAGAAGAGATCAGTCAACACATATCAAGCTGTGATGACAAAAGGTGCATTGAGCAAGACATTGGTAAGAAATTTTTCAGTATGAATTAATGGCTGGCAGCTGCCTCTTACCTTGACTTTTAACATTACAAAGGGATTGCTCTCAGTCTTCTATAATTCCTTTTTGAATCTATAACACATGTTTGTGGTGCCTGTTTGATTGTGATTTGAAGGAGTGTGGGTAGAATAATATTTTTTTTCTTGCTGAGCGTGCAAGTTTTTCCAGCACCTGGCTTCATCAGGCTAGTGACTTTTATTGTTGAATATTGTATCAAAAATTACTCACATTAAGATGAAACCTACTTGGCATTTGAGTTAATACAAGACAAGAAGGGCCAGGGTCATAAAAATTGTGGGTAACTCACGCCTCCTGTTCACTAGATGTTTGAGGTCTCTTCTCCAGCAGGTAAGTTTGGCTATGCAAAGATGGACAAGATATAAAATAACCAATACAGCTTGGACAGCTTTGAACACAAAGATGGGTTCAAACCCCTAATCACAGCCATGAAGAAAACTTGTCCTTACAGGGCCAGCACAGGCATAATTCTGGCTGACCTCTTGTTAGACTCCTGCCGCCCACCACAGCTTTGCTGCTCAGTTTACAAAAATGTGACCTGTGCTTGGTCATTAAAGAATTGGGCAGATTAAGATGAGGGCGTTAGGAAATTAGGTCCATTTTTCTGTCACACCCATAGCCAAGGAAGGGCTGTGCTGTTCTAGAAAAGGCAAGCTTGGTGCCCAGCACTGCGTTAGGCACTTCATACAATGCTTTTTCTCACAAATAAACTTCTTTCATTTAGCAATCCATGGGGATAGCCGCAGAAGAGAGGTTAGTGTGGTAAGCTCCTGGCAATCTCCTCCATGCGAAGAAGACTGGGACAGAGGTGAGACTGTGTTTCTGATACTTTGCTAGAACATCTGCAAGACCAAGGTCCTGTCCCCTCCTGAAACTGTAATGATCTTAGTAAGAAGGAATGCTTTTTTCAAACACCTGTTCTGCCCAAGCCATTATTTTCCATCACCTGTGCTGGGAAGAAAATGATATGTTGTACAACTTGAGGTAAATTACTTTATTAAATAGCTGTGTTTGTTCAGGCAGAACTGCATCAGTTGTATTCTCCTTAGTAAAGTCTGGTGTTTATTCCATGCTTCTCATATGTGGCTTCAGTAATATTTTTGTTTTACCTGACAGACGTAGCAGGCCAATCGAACTCTGTCTTCATTTGGGGCACAAGCCACCATGGTGAGGCAAGCAGGTAAAGTTGGGTTATCCGGCACTGCGAAGATGAAGGTCATCTTCATCTTTTCCTTCCTTTGCGCTTGTTTGTTGTGGACAGAGAAGTAATTCTTTTTTAAAAAATTATTTGGGGAGTTATCATGAACAATGTAAGCTTTTGCTTACACTTGTGGGGGATATGCCTCCTTCAGATCTTTGCATAGGTCTAACACATGAGGGAGAGTTTTGATGAGTGTTGTGTCTCTTTTTCTATATTGAGAATGGCAGTGTGCAGTACAACCTAACAGTAAGTTGCACTCCTCTTGCTCTGGGCAGGATGGCTTCTCTCCTTTTTTGGAGGCACAAATGATAGTGATTTCTTTCACTACTCAGGAAGGACAAGCTTGTCTTTCCTCCATTGTGTGAGTTGGCAGGATGACAGCTCTCATGATACTGAGGCTTGTTTCATTGTAAGCTTTTCTTGCTGTCTGCCCCTGCCCCCCAAACACTCACACACACAGTTCAACCTTCCCCAACCTGAGTCAGATGGGAGTTGTAGTCCAAAGTTTCTGGGGGGTGCCAGGAATACTGGATTGGGGAATACTGGATTACAGTGGTACCTCTGGTTACGTACTTAATTCGTTCCAGAGGTCCGTTCTTAACCTGAAACTGTTCTTAACCTGAATCACCACTTTAGCTAATGGGGCCTCGCACCGCCACTGCACGATTTCTGTTCTCATCCTGAAGCAAAGTTCTTAACCCGAGGTACTATTTCTGGGTTAGTGGAGTCTGTAACCTGAAGTGTATGTAACCTGAAGCGTTTGTAACCCGAAGTACCACTGTATAGCAAACTGGAATACTGTGGAAGCTTCTGGACATCATGCACACTCACAAGTAGCACAATTGCATAGCAGGAACCAAATCCAACCAGGAACTTGCAGTGAGCCATGACTTAGCCTCAAGGTTCTTCCCAGTGGGTGAGTTATAAACTCCCAGGAATCCTCACCCTCCAATCCAATTAGTGTTACAATAGCTGCCTTCCAATCACACTGTTGGTGCTCAGAGGGCAATGCAGTAGTCCAAGCAGGAGGGCATTGGAACATGGGCTGCTGAGGCCATGCTATATTGACCCAGGAACAGCCACAGCTAACCTAAGCTTGGACATAAGCACTCCTAGCTAAAGCAGCTACTTGAGACAGATTGGAATCCAGGGTGGGATTCAGCTAACAAGCCCCACTAGGAATGATCTGCCCCCCTCTACAGCTTTGAGCTGGGGACTGGTCCTTGTTTTTGGTGCTCCACTCCAATCACCACAGAAGCGCAGCACAATTGCTGGAACAACACCCCCAATTTGGACCCGTGGGAGTATAGTCTCTGAGACAAGACACTGCACCTTTTGAGAGAGCAGTCCTAACAACAACCAGAAGTCTTGGTTGATAACCACTGTCAGACAATTTTTCAATCCCTGGGAAAACTTTCTACTGTTTCCTAGCAATGAGCCTTGGGGGATGCTCCTCCTTGGCATGAGAACTGCATTATGTTGTAGATCCAGTACCTTATAGTGGCATTACTCTCCATCTTCTGAGTCTGACAGTCCCTAGTCATAATGGACTGTGGTAGGTAGGCGGTTCCATGCATCTCCTTCTCCCTAGCATTGTTTCAGTTGCAGTGCTAAAAGACCTACTGCCAGGCAGCTGTATAAAAAAAACTCCTGGCAACATGTTTAGTTTGTCATGACCCATCACAAATAATCCTTTTAGCAACTGGGAATCTGTAGACTATTAGTGCTCAGAGTTGGAAATAATATTGTCACCTGCAAAGTAAATCACAATTTAAAGGTGGAAAACCAGGAGTAATGTCTGGTCTGTTTCAGCCTTATAAATTAGCTGCTTCCATTGTATTAACTGGGGATAAGCAGCAAGTGATTTTTATCTTTGTCCCTTTTAAGCACATAACAAACACTCAGCATGAATGTGTTTCAAGACTAATTAACAAGTTGCTTTTCACTGTTTTAAACCTTGTTATTTCAGTAACCAGAGCTTTTACTTTGTTTACAGCAGTTTACCCTAGCCTGAAGAGTGAAAAGAGCATTTATAATCTGCCCTTCACCACCCAAAGGCCCCACATTAATTTTTCATTCCTTCCCCTCCCCTGCCCCACAGTTCTGGATCAAGTCCAGCCGTGGGACTTAAGAACCAGCTAGCTTCAGGACTACGAGCTCCAAGGTCCCTGCCACATGTACTACCATGGAAGAACAGTAAGTGATGCTGGAACTGTATCCATAGTCTACATTGGACCATGAGGTCCCCTGCCACTTTAGTGTGGACCCTTGACTCTTGCTAGGTGGGTGGAGCCAGAGCAATAGATGTAAATTTGACCGTAGTACAGTAAGCTACTTTCTATACCCCCTTGCATACCCCTCTCTGTCTTCCATGCAGACAAGCAAGAGGCATCATCACAGCTCAGTATCACATTCCAGCCTGGCAAAATCACTCCAGGTGCAAAGCAGGGTCAATGAAGGGAAGAATTCTGAGGGCCAGAGTGGTCTGGAAGGTTACATTTTAGTCTGAGGTTTCCCCCCAGGCTTAGTGTTAAATCTAAAATCAGGCTTATCTCCCCCAGTCAAGCAGCAAGTGATAAGTCATAGAAGAAACAGAACACAGGCTTGTGAGCTTTGGGTAAGACAAACCATGAGGCCAGGTTCAGACATAACTAAGACAGCACCATGGCTTGGCCCCTGTTAGTTCAGCTGCATTTTGCCCATTGATTGTATATATGAATGGGAATGTTGAATGAAGAGTTTTAGTTTTGCTAGTCTAACTGGACAAGAGAGGGCACTGTTTGCCTCTGCCTCCTGACAAGCAGCTGCCTTGAAATACAAGTTTAGGAGTGCTTTGGAAGAAGCCCTGTCTGGGAGCATAAATAGTATCTGGTATTTAAGTGAGCCCAAAACAGTTGTGGGGGTTTTCAGTATCCCCTCCTGCTAAATTCAGTGGCAGCTTTGTGGTGAACAGCTGCATTTGGTTTACAAAGTCTCCTCCTCTTCAGATCTCATGTGCAGTAACAACCAGGAATGGAATTATTTTTGTCCCCTTCCCGGGTGAAGTGGCTGAGCAGCTCAGCATTCCTCTCCCCCACCCCTTGTCCTATCCCTGTGGTGACAAAATGCCCCTTCCCTCTTAAGGGTTGTGGATACAAGGAGAAGTGTGAAGGTCTTTCGATTCTTCTGTTTCCAGACTTCAGCTTCTTCCCGTGGAATACTGTATTTTTCGCTCTATAAGACCCACCAGACCATAAGACGCACCTAGTTTTTGGAGGAGGAAAACAAGAAAAAAAATCTTCTGAATCCCAGAAGCCAGAACAGCAAGAGGGATCTAGCTTCTGGGATAGCCTCTCGCTGTTCTGGCTTCTGGGATAGCCGCGCAGCCCGCATTCGCTCCATAAGACGCACACACTTCCCCCTTACTTTTTTGTAGGGGAAAAGTGTGTCTTATAGAGTGAAAAATACGGTATGTGTGAATGTACTATTTTTCATGCAAGACAAATATGGTGGCAGCTCCTATGCTAACAGCTGCAGTAACTAAATTGGTGGCAACATGCAGTAGCTTTCTGCAGTGACTAGTGAGCTTTCCCCAGCTGTGCCCTCTCTGTGCTGAGAGTAGAGGTGAGAGTAGAGGCAGTGCTCCGTAAATGACAGAGAAATAAATTATATCGTGTGTGTACATCTATCTATAATAATTCCTTATGCAAGACTTCCTGCTTTGAAAAAAATGGCTATCACTTAATATGGATACATTATCCTTTACACTCTTTAATTATCATGCAATCTAGCCTTCCCCAACATGGTTGCCTTCAGCTGAAATAAAGAAAAAATGCTTAGTTCCTCCTCCCTTCCCTGGCCCCATTTTGCCAGGTGTTGGCAGCTCCCCTGGTGCTAATTACCATTAGGGTCCAGGGTGTTGAACTACCCAAGAGAATCTGCAGTACTGCACTTGAAACCCAGTCTTGCTAATGTCAAAAGCTATTGGCCCTAAGAAGTTTTACTTTCCTGCTCCCATCTATCCAGCTTACATAAGTAATAAAACAGGCTGGCGAAAATAAACAAATTGCAGGCTGGAAATGCAGCCAGCTGGCAAATATGAATAGGCTACTACTTTTTAAGTTGCTCAGCAACATTCATGTTAAAAATACCTCTGGGGGTACATTCACTTTTTATAATAAAAAATGTGGGAGTTAAGTACTCCTGCTCTACTTAATCTAAGCTTTTCCTTAAGGCTAAGGGGATAGGAAGGATCTGCAGCTGCCCAAAGGTTTTAATTTGAAATTTAGAGGTGTGCCCTCTCTAAATTTGTCACTCTTTAGGTTATTGAGAGATGGAACTCCATGTTGCAGCTTCTGTAATGCTGCCCTGCCTTTTCCCTTCTACTCTGTTGGAGCAGCTAACAACAATGGAGCCTAGAAATATTTTTTATTTGCCCCAGGCCAATGACTAATTCTGAACACGCTTCATTCAAGGAACACATTCTTTCCTTGTCCACCTGGAGGGGATTATGGCAACGAAGAGGTGGAAGAACATGAGTTCTGCTTTCTAATATGAAATTATCCCATCTTTCTTGACAATAGCTTTATAGGAAGAACTGGGAAATGCTATGAGCAAATATTTGATGTATATTCAGGCATGGTCAAAGAAAGGAGGAGGAGCTTGGCATAAATAGGAAACAGTTTTACTTGGACCACCTTCCTGAGGGTGAGAAGTAGCTTTTAAAACATACAGAAAGACTAGAGGGAGACACCTCTGATTTGAAGCTGGGTAAAGGTGAAATCATATGGGACGCGGGTGGCGCTGTGGGTAAAAGCCTCAGCGCCTAGGGCTTGCCGATCGAAAGGTCGGCGGTTCGAATCCCCGCGGCGGGGTGCGCTCCCGTTGTTCGGTCCCAGCGCCTGCCAACCTAGCAGTTTGTTGTTGTTTTTTTAATATATTTATTGAAATTTTGAATAGTAAAACAAACTTCCCAATCAACCAAAAAAGAAACACATCATCACAATCAAACAAAAACAGAAAAATACAATAGAAAACAGAAAAAAAGTAAAAAGAAAAAGAACATTAAAAAACCTAAAAATCCAATTTTTTACTTATTGTTTTTATAACCTTCTTTTCTGACTTCCTCACACCTCCCTTTTCTGTGTTCCCGTTTACACACTCATATTCAGCAGTACTTTACCTTCTTTCAAATCTTATTCTATATTATACTTTTCAACCTATTATGTCTCCAATTTTTCCTTTCCTTTTAAATCCATTTTTACCTATTCTTTATAACTTAATCTCTTTGTGTCATTTAATTTAAATTTGACATAATATTATTCAGTTTTTTCACCCTTATTTCTTTAAAACATTTTTTACATACAGTGGTGCCCCGCAAGACGAAATTAATTCGTTCCGCAATTTTTGTCGTCTAACGAATTTTTCGTCTTGCGAAGCACGAAATCCCATAGGAATGCATTGAAAATCAATTAATGCGTTCCTATGGTCAAAAAAAGTCCAAACAAAGCCAAATTTGGTACAACAACAGTTTATTAACTGCTCTTTAAAGTCACACATACTGTAAAGAGCAGTTCAAAAATTTAAGGGAAAATAAATTAACTTTATAAACAAAACATGTCTTTGTTTTTAGTCAAAGAAAAAAAGTCGCGAGACGTTTTCGTCTTGCGAAGCAAGCCCATAGGGGAAATTCGTCTTGCGAGGCAAATCGCGAACGGAAAAACCTTTCGTCTAGCGAGTTTTTTGTCTTGCGAGGCATTCGTCTTGCGGGGCACCACTGTAATCCTTTCAACTATGTCACTGATGCCATATTCTCTTTACAGCCTGTGCATCATTTTAGCATTCATACATTTTGCAATGTTTTTGCAGGTAGTCTTTGAACTTCTTCCAATCCTCTTCTACTAACTCTTCTCCCAGGTCTCGAATTCTGCCAGTCATTTCTGCCAATTCCATGTAGTCTATCACTTGCATCTGCCATTCTTCCAGAGTGGGCAAATCTTGTGTCTTCCAGTACTTTGCGATGAGTGTTCTTGCTGCTGTTGTTGCATACATAAAGAAAGTTCTGTCCTTCTTTGTCACCATTTGGCCGACAATGCCCAAAAGGAAGGCCTCTGGTTTCTTAGGGAAGGTATATTTAAATACCTTTTTCAATTCATTATAGATCATTTCCCAGAAAGCCTTGACCCTTGGGCATGTCCACCAGAGGTGAAAGAATGTTCCCTCAGTTTCTTTACTGAGCCAGTGTGGTGTAGTGGTTAAGAGTGGTAGTCTGCTAATCTGGGGAACCAGGTTCGCGTCTCCGCTCCTCCACTTGCAGCTGCTGGGTGACCTTGGGCCAGTCATACTTCCTTGAAGTCTCTCAGCCCCACTCACCTCACAGAGTGTTTGTTGTGGGGGAGGAAGGGAAAGGAGAATGTTAGCCGCTTTGAGACTCCTTAAAGGGAGTGAAAGGCGGGATATCAAATCCAAACTCTTCTTCTTCTTCTTCTTCTTCTTCTTCTTCTTCTTCTTCTTTACATTTCCAGCATTTATTATCAGGCAAATGATATACTTTTGCAAGCTTGACTGGGGTCATGTACCACCTATATATCATTTTCATAATATTTTCTTTTAAGCCATTACATGCCGTGAATTTCACACCGATGGTCCATAACCGTTCCCAGTCAGCAAACATAATATTATAACCAATGTCTTGCGCCCACTTGATCATAGCTGATTTGACCGTTTCATCCTGAGTGTTCCATTTTAACAGCAAGTTATACATTCTTGAAAGTACCTTAGTTTTAGGTTCTAACAATTCTGTTTCTAATTTCGATTTTTCCACCTGGAAGCCTATTTTTTTATCCATATTAAAAACCTCTCTAATTTGATAATAATGTAACCAATCTCGCACTTTATCTTTTAGTTTCTCAAAACTCTGCAATCTCAATGTGTCTCCATTTTGTTCTAATATCTCCCAATATTTTGGCCACTTGGCCTCCCTATTGAGTCTTTTCCGAGCCTTAGCTTCCATAGGTGATAACCACCTTGGGGTCTTGTTTTCTAATAAATCTTTATATCTTGTCCAGACATTAAACACTGCTTTCCTGACAATATGGTTTTTGAACGCTTTATGAACCTTGACCTTGTCGTACCACAGATATGCATGCCACCCAAACGCATTGTTGAACCCTTCCAAATCCAAAACGTCAGTGTTCTCAAGAAGTAGCCAGTCTTTCAACCAGCAGAATGCTGCTGATTCATAATACAACTTCATGTCTGGCAGGGCAAACCCCCCTCTTTCTTTAGCATCAGTCAATATTTTAAATTTTATTCTGGGCTTTTTGCCCTGCCAGACAAACTTAGAAATATCTCTCTGCCACCCCTTGAAACAGTCCATCCTGTCCACAATCTGCAAAGTTTGAAACAAAAACAGCATTTTTGGCAATACATTCATCTTTATGGCAGCAATTCGACCCAACAAGGAAAGCTTCAATTTTGACCAAATTTCTAAATCTTTTTTAACCTCTGACCAACATTTTTCATAATTTTCTTTAAATAAGTTCAAATTTTTGGCCGTCATATTAATCCCTAGGTATTTCACCTTCTTCACCACATTTAAGTCTGTCTCCTTCTGAAACCTTTCTTTTTCCATTGTTGTCAGATTTTTCTCCAAAACCTTAGTTTTTTGCTTATTTAATTTAAATCCTGCCACCTGACCAAATTCTTGAATCAGTTCTAAAACTCTTTTCGTACTAGATTCTGGCTCCTGTAGTGTCAAAACCAGGTCATCTGCAAAGGCCTTGAGTTTATATTGTTTAGCTCCGACCTGAATTCCTTTAATCAACTGGTCCTTCCTAATCATGTTCAAGAGCACCTCCAGGACCGAGATAAATAGCAATGGAGAGATAGGGCAACCCTGTCGTGTTCCTTTTTCAATTTTAACAACCTAGCAGTTTGAAAGCACTCCCGGATGCAAGTAGATAAATAGGGACCGCTTACTAGCGGGAAGGTAAACGGCGTTTCCGTGTGCGGCTCTGGCTCGCCAGAGCAGCGATGTCACGCTGGCCACGTGACCCGGAAGTGTCTCCAGACAGCGCTGGCCCCCGGCCTCGAGTGAGATGGGCGCACAACCCTAGAGTCTGTCAAGACTGGCCCGTACGGGCAGGGGTACCTTTACCTTTTTTAAAGGTCAAATCAGAACCGGCTTGACCTACTTGTTGGTTCATAAGACCTCGTAAAACCTCTCCACATTTGTATAACTAGTTTCAAATTCTGCAAAGTGCCCTTTAGCTTGTCTTGTGGTGTGTGCACACAAATCACCATCTGCTCTGGTTGTGTGGAGCCAAGTTAAGTGAGAAGCATTAATGTAGTCTTAAGTTAATCAAGGAGATAACATAAGCAGCTGGGTTGAGTCATGGTGCAGTTGAAAGTACCTTAGAGTAGTTCTGCATTTTAAAATGCCCCATTAGGCACACTGTTTTTAGAACAGCAATTCAAACATCCCTTCTTTTTCTCCTTTTTTCCTTTTTCAATTCATAAAATTTAATCATCTAGAAAAGAATTGCCTAGCAGGACTCGTGTTTGTAACACATTTTGTCCACATTCTTTAGGAAAGCAAAACTCAGTACTGTAGAGTACAGTATATAAAATTTTAAGCCTCTAAGCTATTGTCAACTTTTGGCTGTCACTAATTCTGCATTTTCTTGAAGGATGGAAATAATAAAGATTTCCATGTGTTCAGAGGATTGTCAACTTGGTCCCAGATTCAGAGGATGGAAAATACAGTGGTGCCTCGCAAGACGAAATTAATTCGTTCCGCAAGTTTTTTCTTCTTGTGAGTTTTTCGTCTTGCGAAGCGCGGTTTCCCATAGGAATGCATTGAAAATCAATTAATGCGTTCCTAGGGAAACCGACCTCAGACCAGGTCCGGGGACAGTCTGTCCCCCGACCTCTTCTGAAGGCTGGGGGGGGGGACAAGGGCTTTTCTTCCCACCCCCAGCATTTTAAAAAACCCCGGGACAGCGGAGGACTTCTCCGCTGTCCGGGGCGATTTAAAAGCCCCTGGGAAGGCAGGCAGGGGGGACAAAGACTTTTGCCCCCCGCCAGCCTTCAGAAGAGGTCCTGGACCTCTTCTGAAGGCCGGCGGGGGGCAAAAGTCTTTGCTCCCCCCTGCCTGCCTTCCCGGGAGAGCGGAGAAAGGCAGCGCGTTTCTCCGCTGTCTCGGGAAGGCAGCCGGGGGGGAGCAAAGACTTTCGCCCCCGCCCGCCTTCAGAAGAGGTCCTGGACCTCTTCTGAAGGCTGGCGGGGGGCAAAAGTCTTTGCTCCCCCCCTGCCTGCCTTCCCGGGAGAGCAGAGAAAGGCAGCGCGTTTCTCCGCTGTCCCGGGAAGGCAGGCGGGGGGCGAAAGTCTTTGCTCCCCCCCGCCTGCCTTCAAAAGCCGTCTGGGACAGCGGAGAATCGCGCTGCCTTTCTCCGCTCTCCCGGGAAGGCAGGCAGGGGGGAGCAAAGCCTTTTGCCCCCGCCCACCTTCAGAAGAGGTCCAGGACCTCTTCTGAAGGCGGGCGGGGGGCGAAAGTCTTTGCTCCCCCTGCCTGCCTTCAAAAGCCCTCCGGGACAGCGGAGAAACGCGCCGCCCGGGGCGATTTTAAACCCGCTGTCTCGGGTTTTTTTAAATGCTGCCGGGCGTCAGCGCTGCCGCCCGGCAGCATTTTAAAATCGCCCCGGACAGCGGAGAAGTCCCCCGCTGTCCCGGGTTTTTAAAAAACCTCTCCGCCCCCCTGCCAGGCTTCGGAGCAGCCTTCCGAAGCCTGGCGGCGGGAGGAGGTCCGAGGACAGTGGGGAAGAGGCGCTGCGCTTCCCCGCTGTCCCAGAGATTTCCCTATGGGCTTTCGTGTTGCAAAGGAAGCCCATAGGGAAATTCGTTTTGCGAAGCGCCTCCGCGACGGAAAACCCTTTCGTCTAGCGGGTTTTCCGTCTTGCGAGGCGTTCGTCTTGCGGGGCACCACTGTATCAATAACCTCTGAGAGCCAGTGTGGTGTAGTGGTTAAGAGCGGTAGACTCCTAATCTGGGGAACCGGGTTCGCGTCTCCGCTCCTCCACATGCAGCTGCTGGGTGACCTTGGGCTAGTCACACTTCTTTGAAGTCTCTCAGCCCCACTCACCTCACAGAGTGTTTGTTGTGGGGGAGGAAGGGAAAGGAGAATGTTAGCCGCTTTGAGACTCCTTAAAGGGAGTGAAAGGCGGGATATCAAATCCAAACTCTTCTTCTTCTTCTTCTTCTCTACTCTGCACTGATAAATCCCATTGGCCTGCTGATAATCTAAGCTTGATGAGTGATTGGCAGAGTTAAATCTCTTAAAATAGATGGCTTTGAAAGGAAGATACCTCAAACACAGTGGAAAATTCAGTAATTCAATATCAAAACTTTCAGAATCCCAACTTTGTAAATATGGTCATTTAGGTAGTCTGAATACCTTGTTCAGGATAAATCATTGGTGCTCAGAGATAAAGCAGTTAAATATATTGTGATGTGCTTGTTTTTGACCCAAGAAGATGAATTTGCCTCTGGATTTCACTCCTCACATGTTGTTTAGTACCTGTCTCAGTTTGATAGCCTTGCTACCATCATATGGCTCTTTTCTTGAATTACTCCAGAACTGGCTACTGCAATTTGAGTTTAGCAAGAACTCAGAGAATGCATTCTTTGCCTGAAGTTAAATACAGGAATAGTGTGACAGAGCTCATTTTGTTCAAGTAAACAGCAAAACGCTTCCCCAGCTCCTCATATGGCTGTAAGAAGGTATAAACTCTGTTTTCTTGTAATGCATATCAACAAAGAGTGGTACATATTTTGTTTGCTTGCAATTTGAGTGTTTAACCTGTTCTGATATTTTTGCCCTCCCTTCATATCTCTGGGAGCAAGTAAACTATGAGAAGGATTGGTGGTGCTGTTTTGAGATAATGGCCTTTATGTTAGTGGGATCACAAATCCATTTTGCCTGACACATTGTGCGTGGATTATCATGGCTTCTATTTTAGGGCCTAAAATTGCTTGCTTTTTATTTAATTGCAGATGCTGCAAATTGAGGACTGTGGCAGAAGCTGACCCTTCCAATGACTTATCACGAATTTTGGCAAATACACAATTTGGCAACTGATAGTTCCTTCAGTCAGGGTTACTTCAATAAAAGGGGCATGTTTAGTTGCTGAATAAAAATTAGAGGTTTATTTGGAGAATTTAAACATTCATCCCAAACAGTTGCGTTGTCAAGTTTAAGCCCCAAAATACTTCCCAGCTACCTTTGTAGATTTTTTTTTCTGTTGGCATGGTAATTCTAGATCCTGAGGAAATGGTTACTTTGATTTCTGTTAAATTTAGTTAAATTAAATAGTTAAAAATAGTTAAATTTATCCCTTTTTTCTGACTACGTTTCTGCAAAAATAAATGGGCTGTAAATAATTTAAAAGCAGCAATTATTAAAAGAATTCTAGTTAATAATATGTTGTTGCCTCATTGATCTCTAATTCAAGAAACACCGCTTACTCTGAAAACTGGTAAAGGCTAGTGGGATCAGTGTTGCTATTAGGACATCTTAGAGTTTGGACTGCCCCCACTTTTATTTTAAAGTGTTAACATGTATTGTTTCGTTTAAATTCAAAACGTGGCAAGCAGGCCTTCTGCATTGGGAAGACCCTCTTGTTCATTCTTCTGAGTTGGGCCCTAGACAGACCTTTGCCCCAAAGTCCTGCTCTGACTGCCCCGCAGTCAGAAAGAGGTCCTATAGCCCTCTTTCAAATGTTTCCAGGACTGGCACTTTGGGGGATTGGTGTTGTGGAGCCTTAGCAGAGAGAGGAGGGCTGCCAACCCATGGTGCCTCCTGACCCTCATGTTCTTCCTTGTTGTAAGTGCTTCTTCCCTCCCCTGAGTGAGCAGGCAGGGAGTCACAGAAGCAAGCGGCACTAACGGCCAGAGAAAATGGGCCAAACAGCGAGCAACAGTGGGAAGGTGGTAAGCCCACCGAGGGCATCTTGCCCAGGCACCCTCTGTTTGCTTGGTACCTAAATAGGTCATCATTCAAGCTTCCAGCCCATTGTATCTTGACAGCCTGTAGTAGGTTTAGCTGTCTGTTTGGGAAAGGGAAATTGTGAGGTGGGGGAGGGACAAAAAGAGCAGCATGTGCCTCCGGACAGGGACAGTTCAGCAGCCCCCAAATATTGTTCAGCTACAAGTCAGACATAGAATGGCAACTCGGCTCCCAGACCTCTTAACACTGTCGCTGTTGGGGAATGCTAAAACTGAGAGGAGAGACAAACCATAGAGAAGGAAGCTAGAGCAGTCAATACCAAGCAGGGTATTGTATCCCCTGCATCTGGGAAATTGCACAGCTATTCCAAGTTGTTGTCTTTAATTGATTTTATCAGCTGGGGGGGGGGGGCAAAGATGAACACGAAAAAAATGAGAGGTGTTTTCCTGTTGTTCCACAACTTTATACATTACTTGGATGAAGGAGTTGAGATGCTCTTACTAGGTCCAAATCAGAAAAATTAACTACAAAGCCACAAATTTGGGATCCTTTCCAAACTGGTGCCAAAGCTTGGCAGATTTTTTGCGGCAAAAAAGTTTGACTCAGGTTTGGCAGTGTTATAAGAATTTAAGGTCTCATATAAATTAAATGCTCATAAATTTACAAGACAAACACATAGATAAGTATATAAACCACATGTCTGAAATAGTGCAGGAGAGCAATCCTGAATCCATTTTGACTCTCCCAAATGTTTCTCTGCGAGGAGGAAGGAAATGGGAAAGCCTCTCCCTTGTCTTGTGCTTACCTGTCTTTAGGGCATCTTTGTGTATGAATAGGGGGAGCCTGTCACCTGGATTCAGGAACTAAGCATTTAGCATCGCAAAAGGAATGGCCAGGCTGCCCAGGTAAAGCAGTCAAGTGACCATTATCAGTATCCTGCCAGACAGGATTTCTGTTGTAGACCACCCCCTGTGATGTATTGCTGCTGTAGCCCGCCTCCTCCTGTGATGTAGGTATGATGTTTTTGGGGGTGGTCTTGAGCTACAGGGCGGGCAATTTCAAAAGCCTATATAAGGGCTTGCATACCGTTGTTCTGGGTTCCTCTTCCTTCCTGCATGTGGTGAGTGGGGACCCTGTTGCCAGGGGTAGAGGAAGGGTCCGCCCTGGGTGTCATCACTGAGGGGGGTGACATTCAGCACGCCACCCGCCTGCAACTCCCAATTCTACCCCGAGCTGTCGGGGGAAGGGGCGGAGCTGCACCACCTTGCCAGCGGCCTTCCCCCTTTGTTTTGACAGCTCAGGGGAGGCTTGGTAGTCACGGGCGGGCAGTGCACCATTGCCCCCCACTCACGGGCTGCTTCCGGGGGCGGAGCCTCCCCGAGCTGTCAAAAGGAAGAGGGAAGGGAGGAAAGCTGCTGGCAAAGCAGCACAGCTCCCTCCCCCCCACCCTCCCAGGAAGCCACCCACCATGGGCGGCTTCTCAATATTCTGTGGTTGGCCTCTGTTATTTTCTCCTTCTGATAGGGAACCCACTTAAGGACTCTGTACGGGCTCTTGGATACCCCATAAAGAGCAGGTTTTTTTCTACATCAGAGGGGACCCCATATTTTGGGGTTCAGAGTTAATGTTAAGTACGGACCCCGTGTTTGATGTATCAGTTGCTCAGTTTGTTGGGTGCTGCAAAGCTTGGGGGGTCTCAGTGCAAAATGTTACAAAACAACTGCAACAGTTTGGCACAGGTTTGGAGAGGATCGAATCTTTTGGTGTGTTAAAGCCGAATCTTTTGGTGTGTTAAATAGTTGCAAGGTTTTGATCTAGTTCAGAGCTGCTCATCAAGCTGATGAAGAGCATGGTCTTTTTAAGTTGAATCTGTGGCTTTTCTTAGATAGACGTTACCTGATCAAAGAGAGGTCAGCAATAGCTGTCTGTATTCACTTGGAATTCCTTTAGTGCTACCAGAGCAGCTACGTGGAGCACTCCAAAGTAATTAACACCCAAGTCCATGAACATGTCACACAGGGAGAGGCTTAGATGTCTGGAAAGACCACAGGGACTTCCAGAGACATTCTGTGTTTTGTCTTTAAGGCAGGTGTGTGCTTTGGCACCTTTATACACAGTCAGATATCGCCAAATATCCTTGGTGGTTAGAATGTCCCCTGAAATCTTAACCTGCAAAGCAACCCTCCTTTGCTTGCTTACTGCATTCAGGCCACATCTAGACCATACATTTAAAGTGTATGACTTCCCCTAAGGAACCTTGGAATGCTGTCTGGGAATGGAAAGTCTCTGTGAGGGATAGACTACAGTTTCCAGGATTCTCGGGGGTGGGGGGGGTGACTGTTAAAGCGGTAGAGCCAGTTAGTATTCATTGATGGTATTAATGCAGCTTTTATGAATTCTTGGTTGATCTTATCCTTGCATGTTGCACTCTGCCTTGGTATATTTTTATGAAAGTGTGGCTTATAGATTCATAAATAAATACTGTGCTTTAAATGCATGGTGTAGATGTGACCTCAGTTTACCGCACTCCTCTTTGCCACAGTTTTGAAACTGCCAGTCCGGAGTTTGGTTGTGATTTCTGAGCTGTGAGACAAATCAGATTGCAAGAGCCTCCTTCAAAGCCTCTCTAAGAAATTCCACTTAGAAATTGCTTTTAATTTGCCAGGCAGCATTCAAGAGGAATGTTGTGACAATTTCTGAGGGAGTTGGCCTGCTTTTTCAATGCAAAGCCCTCCTGTTTGCATAAAGTAGGATGTGCTAATCTTTTTGTTATCTTTAGCTCCCCTTTCATGGCCCCTACAATGTGATTGACTTTCTGTTGTGTTTACCTTGTACTAGATAAAAGTCACTTCAGGCAGCAGAAGTGGTTAGTTTGTTAGTTAAGGAGTTCATTGGGAAAGAAAGAAAAAATGTATAAGTCTTGGCTGCTTTTGTTCAAAGTATTATAGATTCTGACCACGCATGATTTCAGACAGAGAAAGATAAGCCCCCCAGATACAATGTTGCTGGTTATTATTTTTTTAACATAGAGTCACCTACAGTCCACATGTTTTGGTTGCCATTTCCCCCAACATTCCTCAGATGAAAATTTCTCACTCCCCCCCCCACTGACCCTCCTTGATCCCCCCACATTTTTTGCCATCCCCCTGCAGAGCATTTCCTACCCCTTGCCTGCTCTCTAGCAGCTGCTGCAAGTTGCCCAAGGGAGGAGGCCGGTGGTGGCAGCCACGGAGAGACCAGGGAGAGGCAGCGGGGTGCTCCCTCACAGCCCCCGTCGCTCAGGACAATCCCTGGCTCAGGTTCCTCCCTGAGCTCGGCGGCACTGGAGAGGGGGAAATCCAGGATCAAATCAGAAGTCGTAATTCTGGGTCTGTCCCTGGAAAATTGGGACACGGTGGGTATGTGGTACTGGAACATGTTATACTGGTTTAACTAAACGTTTATTGCACTTAATGAGGCTTCCATATTTGTATATTACATACAGGATGTTTGATTAACATAACGTGCTCCCAAACTAATTGACGGCTTCCAGAAATGAGCAGCCCATAAAAGGAGGTCATGTTTCACATTTGCTCTCAGCGTGGCCAGTCAGCTGCCTGTGGGAAGGCCAAAAGGGGGCCCTGAGCCCAGCAGCACTCTGACAGCAGAGGCAGAACACAGCCATTGGGGCTCATAGCTAGCGATGGCCTTATCTCCCATGAATTGGTCCCACTCTCTTTTGGAGCCATCCACAGTTGGGCTGTTAGGCTGCTGAACGGAAAATAATATAGTGCAACTGACTTTCAGAGTTGGTGTGTTGTGCAACAAGCACACAGAGTGCAATGGGGGTGGGGAGGCTTGGTTAATTTCATTGTACACAGGTTGTACATTGACAATAAAGACATTATTATTATAATGATAGCCATCACCACTTCTTGGGTTAGTAGCCACCATAGCTCACCCACATGGTGCATGAAAAAGGGCCTCTGTCTGCCCTGAACCTTCCCACGTTCACCTTTGTTGGATGTCCTTCAGTTATGAGATGGGGAGAAAAAGTTCCCGTCCATTTTCTCCACATTTTGCATAGTTTTATACACCTAAATCATGTCGTCCTCTCATCACCTTTTCTCTAGATTTAAGCCCCCAAATGTTGTAGCCTTTCCTCCTAGGGGAGTTGGGTATAAAAAGCATTAAACAGACTGTAGCCAGGCCTTGACTACTGGCAGTTTCTGGAACGTCCCGGCCTCCTATTTGCAGGGTACCCCCACCCCCACCCCGGCCCGTGAATCCACAGGCACAGATGCTTTGGCCATGACTTCACCAGATGACGCTGCTTTAATACTGGTGGTTCTGCATGTTTACAGGTCTCACCTGTGGGATGTGACTGACAGTTTCTTACATACTCTG